CAAACCTATAACAAACAAACCTATAACAAACAAACCTATAACAAACAAACCTATAACAAACAAACCTATAACAAACAAACCTATAACAAACAAACCTATAACAAACAAACCTATAACAAACAAACCTATAACAAACAACCTATAACAAACAACCTATAACAAACAACCTATAACAAACAAACAAACAAACAAACAAACAAACAAACAAACAAACAAACAAACAAACAAACAAACAAACAAACAAACAAACAAACAAACAAACAAACAAACAAACAAACAAACAAACAAACAAACAAACAAACAAACAAACAAACAAACAAACAAACAAACAAACAAACAAACAAACAAACAAACAAACAAACAAACAAACAAACAAACAAACAAACTATGAAGCCACAATCAAACAGAACAATAACACTTCCCTTACCTCCCCTCGCGGTGATCTGTATTTAAACTTGTCTTGATATCGTTGTTCGTGTTCATCAGGATATTTCTCCAGCACTTCTTCATATGTCATACCATCAAATATACCCTGAAAATTACAAATATAAATATTACATATTCTTCCGAAACAAATCTCCAGAATAGCTGGAAGTGCTATTTTGGAAAGGGCCTAAATTACACAGCGACACGTTGTCAGACCCCTATACTGTACGCACGTAAAAAGGCGCAAGTTGTTACAGATTTGCAAACAAGTTGTAATAAGGTTGTTGTCAAGCCGATATCAGGATGTGTTGGTACTGCTTGTTCCCAGTTGTTGTGACAAGTCTGGAACAAGTTGTTATCACCTTGTTACAAGGTTGATGACGGTAACAGACTTGCTACAAGTTGTTCCAACAAGACCAAAACAGGCTATTCGTAACAAGTTGCTACGAGCTTGTTGTCATCAACTTGTTAACAACTTGTTACGTGCAGACGATATCAGACTTGTTGGAACAATTTGTTGCAAGTCTGTTGACCTCATCAACCTTGTTACAAGATGATACCAACTTGTTCCAGACTTTTCACCAACTGGGAACAAGCAGTGCGAACACATCTTGTTGACAAGCTGTGAGAGTTTTACGCGTGTATGTGCACGGCACCACAGAACCACGTATTTCTTTCAAAGAGGAAGAAAATCCTTCGCTTCTTTTCTTCGTGTTGATGTAAAACTACATACCGCTTCAAGTTCATTCAATGCTTTCCATTGTTCAATAGGGGCGTCAATATCCTGGGCTGTGTGATAAGCACGTTTCAATTGACTCGTCCAAACCTGAAATTAACATCCAGGATTTAATTGCAAGCTCTCTTTTTATGAAGAGGAGCAAAAAATAGATTAAATTTTTTCGATTTTTCAAAAGTATGTTTAGTGCTTTATCAAAATAATGTTAAAATGAAGACATTTTAGATGGTACGTCAAAGAGAAAATGATGTCACCCGGGTTTAGACG